TATGCCTTAAAAATGCGAGCACAAAGTTGGGACAGGTCTCAAAATAATTCCCTAAATAATCCAGGTTCTTATATCTGATTTCCCTTAGAACTATATTCCTTAAAAATCCAAGCTCGAAGCTCTGATAGCTCATTGAAAAATATTACTTAAAAAATTCTGGTTTTAAGCTCTGATAAGGAATATATTCCTTAAAAATCCTGGCTCGAGGTTTCGATTTTTCTTCAAAATAATTCCCTAAATAATTCAGGTTCTAAGCTCTGATTTTTCTTAGAAAAATATTCCTTAAAATCAAAGCTCGCGTCTCTAGCCCATCGAAAAATATAACTTAAACAAATTCTGGTTTTAAGATCTAATTACCTTTACAAAAAATGATCCTGAAAAATCCAGGCTCGAATTTTCGATAACCGGTTCTAAGCTCTGATTTCCCTTACAAAAATATTCCTTAATAATGCAAGCTCCAAATTTCGAAGAATATTCAATAAAAAAAATTCTGGTTTTAAGCTCTGATTTATTTTAGAAGAATATTCATTAAAAATGTAAGTTAGAAGTTTCCAAAAATATTCCTGAAAATCCATGCTCGGTGATGCGATCGATAGTCCTTCGGAAAATATTTCTTAAAATCCAAGCTCAAAGCTTAAAAATCCTGGCTTTAAGACATTCCTATGTGCGTGAATGTCTTATTGTCCTTATACTTATAGCGCGGATCGGCTTTAAAATTATATTAGATATAAAAATTTTTAATTTTTTTTAAATACATATATTTTGGATAGTCCTTAAAAACATGATACCTGTTTTTAATATATAATACAGTAGTTACTTTGGTATATAATATAACCCTTCGCATTACATACAACAATAAATTTAATAAATGATATGAAGCGAAAAAAGTAAAACATTGACATTAAACAAAATGTTATGCATCTTCAAAGAAATCGACCGCTAAATGCAAAAAACGCACACACACACACATACACCAACAAAAGTTATTGTATTTTTAGGGTTTTACTTTTTCTTCACTTGCTGACTTTGCAGGATTGTCATCACTGCCTGCCATACCATGGACTACTGATTTGTTTTATGTTGTGGATACGTTTAATTCGGAGCTGTTCTTAGCGGTGGCTAGGTTTTGATTTCAGACAATGTTTCGTGATTTTTTTTTATTTTTCAACCCAGAAAGGAAATCCGTATAAAATTGACACAAGTTGTAGAGGGGCGAGAAAGAGAGCTGTATGTTTGAGGGGGCATACAAATACGCAGTGTCGCCCCGGCACGTACAAACGGTTGAGTTGACAGAATACAAACGTTTCAGACAATCATCGTAAAGCGAGTCAGCCAGTCAGCCAGCCAGCTATCCAACCCAACCAGCTACAAAACAGCTAAATTGTGACAATAAAATGTAACAGTTTTTTAATTGGTATCCAGGCAAAAATAACAACAACAGCAGCAGCAGAACTGCATCTTCCGCCAACCAGCCAGCCAGCCATCCACTGACTGCATCAAGACGATGAGATCTCGGCGAGAGAGTACAGCATTTGTTTGAATGACTGTTTTGCTTGAAAATGCAGTTAATTGCATTAAAAAAAGGGATTTTTTGTGTTGTTGTTGGATGTGCCTTGTATTGTAAAAATGTTTAATGAAACAAAACAAAGCAAAACCAAAAAAATCCTTTGCAAACAGTTAAGCGACAATGGCCAATGAAACGAACGAGAAGAAACACAACAGCCGAACAACAAATAATTTAACATTTTTCATTTATTTGTCAGAGTTGTGTTGTAGGGTTTTGTCGTTGTTGTTGTGCTCTTTTTTTGGGTCCACTCGCAAAAAAGCCAGAAATCCACGTAAATTATGAAGCTATGCAAAACATGTGCGAAATTGAAACGTGAGGTACATTATTAATTTCGGTCGTTTTTTTAAGGTAGGGATTAAAACGACAAGCGGACAATTTAACTTGAGATTGTTTAGGGGATTTCTTTTTTTTTGGATTGGAGCCTTTCAAGAAAAGGAAGTCATACAGCTCTTTAACATTCCATCGAAAGAAGAAAATATGTGTTTGTAATTTTGTTGTTAAAGATTTACGAAATTAATGGAAGAAAGTTCTTGAAACAGAAAAATGTTCGTGGGAGTGGAGAGTAATTTGCGTGAGATTTACAAGATTTCGTTGCAATGGTCGCTTAGGGAAATAGTTTTGTAATAAGATTCTGAAATCATAAGCCTTAGGATTTAAAGCTCTAAGCTTACAACAAACGGACACATCCAGATTTGTTAAAGACTACCTCTTCAAGAGGCGTATATATTTTCTAAAGACCTCTAATGGGCATGAACTGTAAGGACATGCATTTTTTAAGGAAATATTTTCCAGGGCTATTAGAAGCGTATATAAAAATAATGATTTTTTTTACAAGAACCATACGATGCTGAGATTGATTACGATAATTTTTTTTCTGAGACTATAAGGGGTATAGATATTTGTCGAGGACTATGAACCGAAAACTTTAATTTTGTCAGATTTTCTAGTCGCTCTAGAGGCAATTATTATATGCAGAACGTCACATATTTTACAAGGTGAAGGGGATCTGGCCAAATACTTGGAGCGGTTGTTCATATAATGATCGGTCAATATTCCGAGGGTCAAACCTAAAGTGATCAATTTTGTATTTTATGGCGTAAAAATTCACTTCAAGAAAAAAAAATCGGAAAATATGCCAGGGTTAGAAAGTGGAGTTGTTGATCTATAATCGGTAAAAAGGATGCAAATATCACGAAATATTTCCAGCTCAGAATATAGAAACGCAGAATGTTTGCTTTTCGTGGTAGTTTTGTAGGGTATCATATGGTCGGCCCCGTCCGACTATACTACTCCGCTCACTGGTTTTTAATTGTCAAGGATCCTAAGGACACAGTGTGGTACACGGTATTAAGTCTTTGTGCATATGTTTGTAACATGCAAAAGGAAACGATATAGACCCATGGTTCCTTTTGAGAATATGCATAGAATCACTTTCTAAGTCGATTTATGCATGTCCGTCCGTCTGTCTGTCCATGTTATATTGTAAACAAAGTACAGGTCGCATTTATGATTCGAATTGGATGAAATTTGACATAGGTCACTAATTCGGCTACTGAATTGAGTCTAGAATAATGTGTGCTAAGTTTCTCTAAAACGGTTCATATTTAGATATAGCTCCCATATATATTTTCATACGATTTAATGTAAATGGTGTTCCAATTTCCCTATATAACTTTCAATTTGCACACAATTTGGCACAGCGTACTGACATAGGTCTAGAATGATGTGTGTTAAGTTTCTTGAAAATCGGTTCAGATTTGGTATAGCTCCCATATATATTTTCGTCCGATTTAATGTAAATGGTCCACCAAAGTCCCTATATATCTTTCGATTTGCACGAAATGAGGCAAAGCGTAATGAATTGAGCCTAGAGTGATGTATGCCAAGTTTTGCGACAATCGGTCCAGATTTAGATATAGCTCCCATATATATTTTCGTCCGATTTAATGTAAATGGTGTACCAAAGTCTCTATATATCTTTCGATTTGCACGAAATTTGGCATGGGGTAATGAATTAAGTCTAGAATAGTGTGTGTTAAATTTCGTGAAAATCGGTTCAGATTTAGATATAGCTCCCATATATATTTTCGTCCGATTTAATGTAAATGGTCCACCAAAGTCCTTATATATCTTTTGATTTGAACGAAATTTGGCACAGCGTAATGAATTAGGTCTAGAAATATGTGTGTTAAGTTTCCTGAAAATCGGTTCAGATTTAGATGTAGCTCCCATATATATTTTCGTTCGATTTAATGTAAATGGTGTACCAATGAATTAGGTACAGAATGATGTGTGTTAAGTTTCCTGAAAATCGGTTCAGATTTAGATATAGCTTCTATATCTGAACAAATGAAAAATTTAGTATCGGTTGCAGAATGACATGTTTATGAATCCAATTTCATTTTACTGGTCCTTTAAAAATGCGACGTCTGTTAGGAGTCATCTGTTGAATATACCCAAAGTAGTAAAGGGTATCATATAGTCGACCCTATCCGACTTTACTACTTTTCTTACCGTTTTTTTTTTTTCTCTTTAAAAAATAGTTTTTCAAGGGCTATAGCAGGCGTGCATTTTTAAGAAAATATTTTTTTTAATTTAAAAACATGGTATTTGAAGGACCATTACAAGGTCGAATTTAATTAGCACTCCTGATTGTAGGAGGTTCATATACATGGTGTAAAGGCGAATTTTATATTGAACATACCAATTTGAAGGTTTTAAGTTTATCTAACTGAATTCTTTTCTTCTGCGGTTTTAGAGATAAAGGTTGGGGACTTGTTCTATGTTTGGAACAAGTCCCCATATAACACACTTTTTTCGGAATTCGAATAAGTTTCTCTATCATCTTGTTTAAGGTCCTACCCCAACCTGAGTACTCATTCCCCTTTCCAATGTATATTTTCCCCTTACAAAATTATATTCCAAACCGAAACCCCAGTATAAATTACACAACCGAATGTTGTTGCTGTTATTATTGTTGTCATCGCTTTGTGAGAACATCATCTCATTAAGCTTTAAATTGGTTAATATAATTTGCAATAATAATTTAAAAATGAAAATAAACGTTGGCAATACAATAAAGTATTTAAATTACTACCGTTTATGGTCAAAATATAATGACCAGGCAAACGGGGCTACCAATTATAATGAGACCAAAATGAAGACAGCGATAACAACAACAACAACAACGAAAATTATTAATTTAAATTTATAAACGAAATGAGAATTTGCGAATGTGAGTGACCATGAAAATATGAAATTAAATATGGCAGCATGAAAGATTAAAAATCGGAGGAAATAGGGGATTGGAATGGATAAACAGAGATCTGAATTAAAGTTTCCAATTAGGAATTTCATTAATTGAGAAAATTGAATATTATTATTTTGGTTTTAATTTAAATTTCTAATTTGTATATATGTGTTCTATTTCCAGGTCCCTGAAAATGCCGCCATTGGCCATGTCGTGGGCTATGTCGATGGCACAGATGGTAGTCGGCAAAATATGATTTTCAACGAAGATAATCTCTACATAACCTATACGGTAACAGCTGTATCAAAAGATTTCATAGAAGGAGCTTTTGATATTGATCGGCATACAGGATCACTGGTTGTGGCCCGACAACTTGATCGTGAGGAACAATCGGAATATCGCCTAGAAGTTCGAGCCCTTGACACAAGTGCTAGCAATAATCCCCATAGCAGTGCCATTGCAGTAAAAATTGAAATAACCGATGTTAATGATAATGCACCCATATGGACAGAGGATCCGATAAGGATACAAGTAAGCGAATCTGCAGCACAAGGATCCGTTCTATACAATTTCACAGCCACCGATATGGATACGGGTCTAAATGGACGATTGCAATATAAACTATTGAAATATAGTCCAAGAAATATAAATTTAGGATCAGATGTAAATCCGCTCACACAAATGGAACAACCTGACCTTTTCTCCGTTGATATTCTAACTGGTGGCCTAACATTAATGGGGTCTTTGGATTATGAATCAATTAAGGAGTACATTTTAATTGTGCAAGCCTATGACCTGCCAATGAATAAAAGTGAACGTTTGCACAGTACCGTAACAGCTGTGCTGGAAATTTTGGATGAAAATGACAACGAACCCGAATTTGTAATACCCCCAGTGCAGAAAGAGAACCGCAATCGTTATGGTGTCATTAGCAAACAAGAAATACCCTCAGCCGTAATTACGATAACAGATAATAAACGTATTGGTGATCAATTATTACAAATTGTGGCCACCGATAAAGATTCCGCCAATAATGGTCGCATATCCTATAGCCTGCAGAGTGGCAATGAATTGGGTTATTTTCGTTTGAATTCGGAAACGGGTTCTTTGGAATTAAGTAAGACATTGCCTCCATTAAGTAAGAGCAGTAATGTGGACAACCGTTTGCCTGTTACCACCTTGAATCGTAATAAATTTGTGTTGTTGGTGAAAGCTGAGGATCACGGAGATTTGGAAAAGAAAAGTTCGATAATGAAGCTGGAAATTTTAATCCGTGGTACCAAATCGAATCCGCCAAGGTTTACCCAGTCTATGTACTATGCAAATATTTCGGAAAATTCACCATCAGGAAGTTTTGTTCTGCAGGTTACGGCGAAGTCATTGAATGGTGGGGAAAATGGTGAGTTACACAAAATATATTTTTTAATATTTTTATAAAACTGGAAGAAGGTAACTATATGCATTTGTAAGACCTATCAGGACCATATAAACCTTTTTTTAAAGAATATTTTTTCAAGGCTCTCATCTAAGGCGTGGATTTTTTAAAGAATATTTTTTTCAAGGCTCTCATCTAAGGCGTGGATTTTTTAAAGAATATTTTTTCAAGGCTCTATACAAGGCGTGGATTTTTTAAAGAATATTTTTCCAAGGCTCTATACAAGGCGTGGATTTTTTAAAGAATATTTTTTCAAGGCTCTATACAAGGCGTGGATTTTTTAAAGAATATTTTTTCAAGGCTCTATACAAGGCGTGGATTTTTTAAAGAATATTTTTTCAAGGCTCTATACAAGGCGTGGATTTTTTAAAGAATATTTTTTCAAGGCTCTATACAAGGCGTGGATTTTTTAAAGAATATTTTTTCAAGGCTCTATACAAGGCGTGGATTTTTTAAAGAATATTTTTTCGAGGCTTTATACAAGGCGTGGATTTTTTAAAGAATATTTTTTCAAGGCCCTATACAAGGCGTGGATTTTTTAAAGAATATTTTTTCAAGGCCCTATACAAGGCGTGGATTTTTTTAAGAATATTTTTTCAAGGCTCTATACAAGGCGTGGATTTTTTAAAGAATATTTTTTCAAAGCTCTATACAAGGCGAGGATTTTTTATTTTTTTCAAAGTCTATACAAGCGAGGATTTTTAAATATTTTTTTTTAAAAAAAAATAATTTTATCAAATAATTTTTCCCATGGAAAATAATTACAACTTTCACAAAAAAAAACCGAACTCATGCCTTGTCCATCAAAATGTCAACATCTGCATAACTGCTTCCATTTAATAAAAAATCCAACAAACTTTTGTCAAACGAGGAAAACGAAAAAACTGTCACGTCTAAACATAGTTTACCTTCTTCCTATCATACAAACACCTATATACACAACCATATTGAATAGCTCTACTGAAGGCTAGGAGTCTAAACAACAATTAACGGTATTTTTTTAATTTCCCAACATTCACCCTTTTCTTTTATTCGTTTCCTTTTCTTATTCTTCTTCTTATTTTCAATTTTTTCTTTTTATTGCAGCAAATCTCACCTATGAGATACCAACAGGTGTCGCCGATAATCATTTTCATGTTGACACCCAACGTGGCATTGTCACAACACGCGGCCAATTTGATCGTGAAACAAAAGCTTCATACATTTTGCCAATTTATGTTTACGATGCCAAGCGTTTAAATGCCAATCTAATGACAGCTGGAGCGGCAGCAGCAGCAGCATTAACTTCTGGCGTAGCGGCTCGTCGCCAGCAACGATCATCGGTGAATGAGGCGGCAACGGCACAAAATGGCCAATTTGATGTTGCCACTTTGCATATAACCATAACTGACGTTAATGATCATGCACCGGAATTTCGACCGGGTTCATGTTATGGTCTATCTGTGCCGGAAAATAGTGATTTGGCGGTAATACACACCATTGTTGCCAGCGATTTAGATGAGGGAGCCAATGGAGAGATTGTTTACAGTATTATTGGTAAGTGCTCAACATTGTTGTCAAATGGTGTTAATAATAAAAAAGAAAAACAAATCTGATGTTGTTGTTGGTTTGTTGATAATGTGATATTTGTTTTCTCTTTTCTCTCTCGTATTACAGGTGGCAACACTGGCAATAAATTTAGCCTGGATATGCATACCGGTGAACTGACAGCTCGTCCATTAGATCGTGAACAACAATCTCGTTATATTCTACAAATCCAAGCCACTGATCGCGGTTCACCAATCAGCTATCAGGGCCACTGTAACATCACCATTTTGGTGGAGGATCAAAACGATAATGATCCTCACTTTGAACAGGCGAAATATGTGACAAGTGTGGCGGAGAATGTGCCAGTGGGTACAAGTGTTTTGCGCATTAAGGCCAGCGATGATGATTTGGGTATTAATGCCCGACTGTTGTATACCTTGGCGAATGAGACCCAATGGCAGTTTGCCATTGATAATAAAAGTGGTGTTATCACCACTGTGGGGTAAGTCGATTTTTTCGTATTGGCCTACTATGAATCTTATAGATTATTAAAAATGATAATTAAAAAAAAATATGGGAAGGCATTTTTTTAAAAATATTTCTTAAGGATTATATATACATTTTTAATGTTTTTTTTTTTAGGACTATTAATAAGCATGGATTTTAAAAATATTGTTTCTACACATACACCAGGCATGGATTAACATTAGGCGTGGATTTTTTACAAATATCTTTTCAAGGATCTACATTAGGCGTGAATTTTTCAAAACTAATTTTTATTTGCCAAGTGAATATTTTTAGAAATATGGGATTTTTGAGAAAAAAAAATAATAATATTCGTGTCTTAAGTCTTTTGTTTCAATATTTATACTCTTCACCACAATGTGGTACAGGGTACAATGTCTTTGTGCATATGATTGTAACAGGCAAAATGAATCGAGATAGACCCATGGTTCCTTTTGAGAATATGCATAGAATCACTTTCTGAGTCGATTTATGCATATCCGTCCGTCTGTCCATGTTAAATTGTAAACACAGTACAGGTCGCATTTACGATCCGAATTGGATGAAATTTGACACAGCTCATTTGTTTGGCCCAAGGACGAACCCTACTGAAATTGGGAAAAATTGGTTCAGATTTAGATATAGCACCCATATATATTTTCATCCGATTTAATGTAAATGGTGCACCAAAGTCTCTATATATCCTTAGATTTGCACGAAATTTGGCATAACGTACAGAATTGAGCCTAGAATTATGTCTGCCAATTTTCGTGAAAATCGGTCCAGATTTAGATATAGCTATAGTTTCGTCCGATTTTAGGTAAATAATGCACCAAAGTCCCTATATATCCTTCGATTTGCACGAAATTTGGCACAGCGTACTGAATTGAGTCTTGAATAATGTGTGTACAATTTCTTGAAAATCGGTTCGGATTTAGATATAGCTCCCACATATATATTTTTCGCCGACTTAATGTAAATGGTGCACCAAAGTCCCTATATATCCTTGGATTTGCACGAAATTTGGCATAGCTTTCTGAATTGAGTCTAGAATGATGTGTGCTACGAATCGTGAATATCGGCTCAGATTTATATATAGCTCCCATATATACTTCCCTCCGATTTAATGTAAATGGTGCACCAAAGTCCCTATATATCTTTCAATTTGCACGAAATTTGGCATAGCGTACGGTATTAAGCCTAGAATTATGTCTGCCATTTTAGGTAAATGGTGCACCAAATAGCATAGCGTTCTGAATTGAGTCTAGAATGATGAGTGGTGAGTTTCGGGAAAATCGGTTTAGATTTCTACATATCTCCCATATATATTTTCGTCCGATTTTAGCATAGCGTATATTTTCGTCCGATTTTAGCATAGCGTAGTGAATTAAGTCTAGAGTGATGTGTGTTAAGTTGCCCATATATATTTTTGGCCGATTTAATTAAAATGATTCTCCAGAGTCCCTATATATCTTTCGATTTGCACGAAATTTGGCATAGCGAACTGAATTAAGTCTAGAATGATGTCTGCCAAGATGCGTGAAAATCGGTCCAGGTTTAGATATAGCTCCCATAAATAGTTTCCTCCGATTTTGTGTAAATGGTGCTCTAAAGTCGCTATATATCTTTCGATTTTCAAGAAATTTCAATTGTAAGGATAGATATGTACAATGTACCGAAAGTGGTGATGGGTATTATATAGTCGACCCAGTACGACTTTAATACTTTCCTTACTGGTTTTCTATTAGTAATATGGGATTTTTGAGAGAAAAATAACAATGTTCGTGTCTTAAGTCTTTTGTTTTAATATTATTTTTAATTGGAAAAAAATATGAACTATTACTGAAAATTATAAAATATAACAACGACTATGCAAAGGAGGGACAAATGTGCCTTAATTTCCATCAGAATATTTACATTGCTAACAGAGGAACTCCTACTCTTCTGGTGGTATGTTCGATGTACCCTAAAGGTTTAAGCAACTATTATCTCAGATAAGAGATGAGGCTCATAACATCTTTCAACAGATTTTCTGTTTTTATTTTTTCTTAGGAATTACAATGTAAGGTAACATATTTTGTTGTTCTTGTTGTTGCCGTTGCATATAAAAAACAAAGAAAGATATAATTTTTATTAATACACAACCTACGCAATAATTTTGTGTTGTAGAGACTTTAAGACGTTTTGTTCGTTTTTGGCAAAAGTGGTTCTTCTTCGTCTTTTGACAGTGCCTGTCGTTTCAGTAAATGTTGGCTTTCTTGGAATGCAAATATTTAAGGAAAAAATTATAAAAAACTAATAGCAACAACAAATTGTTATATCGTGCATCAAAAAGTGGAGAGTATATTAAATTTGTCATTCAGTTGGGAACACATCGAAATATTCACTGGAGATCCCATAAGGTATAAATGGAACAAAAAATCTATGTCGTGGATACTGTTCAAGCTTGCCAAAAATATGTTTTCAAAGATCTACATTAGGCTTGGATTATTCAAAAAAAGTTTTCAAGGATCTACAGGTATGGATTTTTTTAAAGGATCTACAGGCATGGATTTTTGAAAATATTGTTTCGAATATATTTGTCCAGGACATTTTTCTTTTCAAAATACAGGGTACATAGCGTTCGTCCTTGTCTTTAAAAAAAGTGACTTGAAAATTGGTTTAATTTTTTTTGTAGTTGTTGTACGTCACTTTTTTGTGTACAACAATAAACAACAATAACGATGTCATGTTTTGTTTTGTTTTTTGTGGTTTGGTTTCGTTCATAGTCAATGTCTGTCGTTCGGTCTGCCCTGTTGGTTGTTGGGTTCGATATTTGATGTGGCAGGGAATTTTCATTTTTTTGTGTTGCCGAAGCTGAGTTATATATGTATATATGTTGCTACAACAATTGTACATTACTTAAAGGTCGCTATATACATTTTATTTTTTATTTTGGTCCAAACTAAAATTCAGACGTAATGTAAAAAAACCTCTGAAATTAAATCAAGACATGTTGTTTCCATTTTGTTGTTGGCATAAACTAGTAAATCGTTCATTTGTTGTTGCTCGGACTGTCTAAAAATAAACCAGAAAAACCTTTTAAACATAACATTCACACAGAATGAAATACGTTGTTAAGGCACAGAAAAAATATATATATTTGTATTTAGTTTTTGTGTTTTACTATGTGGCCTTTTGTGGCCTATAGTTCAGAATCACTCTCTCACTGAGGCAGTAAGTCGGGGTTGGCAGGCAGTCAGTCAGTCACTGGTTGGACCCCCTCTGGTGCAAATTTATTCATATGGACAATCAATGATGACAACAATTGCAAAAATAAATTGTTCAGCAACAATTTTCAATGTTGGTTGTTGCTGCTGTTACTGTCTCAGTTTCTGTTTTGTTACCCCGGTGACTCTTTATCGCCCTACAACTACAATTAAAAAGAAATGAGTAAGAAATCAATACAATTGGTAAAGTCGAATATGTGATACCCTATAAAGCCCAAGCTATACTATTAGGTAAGCGGCACATACAAAGCACAGACAAAATTTCAAGTTCATTTTTTTCAATAATCACCAATTGGATTTTTAATTTTTTTTATGGATTTTCATAATGGGTGGATATTTAAAAAAATATGAAGCGTGGATTTTTTAAAAAATATTTTGTTAAACCAGCATTGTGTAATTCTGAAGGTAGGGCCTTTAAAATTGGCAGAAAAATCTTAATATTTTAACTTGGCCTTTGCTATAACAAAAATTGGCAAAACAAAAAGAAAACCAGTAAGGATAATAGTAAAGTCGGAATGGGCCGACTAGATGATATTCTTCACCACTTTGAGTATAGCCTACATATATATCCTTACAATTGTTTGTCAATGTTCCCTCATGTCTTTCTGAAACCTATGATAAATTAAATTTCATTCGGGCAGATTTAGAGTCGTTTTCATACCATGGGACAAATTTATGGAAAACGATTTATAGCAAAATTGATAGACGCTATTCGGTACGCCGTACTGTTAAAAAATTAATTTCAATCAGACACCCGTTCGAAATCCATATAAAAGCTATGGCTGGATCTGAAAAAATTTCAACAAAATCCAATAAGGTCATTCAAGTCTCAATAACGAAATAACGAAAATATATATGGAAACTGAATCAAAATCTGAATCGATTTTCAAGAAACTTAACATTCTAGACCTATTTCAGTACTCTATGCAAAATTGTGTGGAAATCGATAGTTATAAAGACACTTTGGTGCACAATTTACATAAAATCCGACGAATATATATATATATATATATATATGAGCTATATGTAAATCTGAAGTGATCTGCATTAAACTTAGCACACATCTATGCCAAATTTCGTGGAAATCGAAAAATATATTCGGACTTTTGTGCACCATTTACATTAAATCGGATGAAATATATGAAAGGCTATATCTAAATCTGAACCGATTTTCACGAAACTTAACACACGCCATCCTAGACTTAATTCAGTACGCTATGCCAAAATTCGTACAAATCGAATGATTTTCAGGGACTTTGGTGCACCATTTACCTTAAATCGGACGAAAATATATATGGGAGCTATATCTAAATCTGAGCCGATTTCAGTACGCTATGCCAAAATTCGTGCAAATCGAATGATTTTCAGAGTCTTTGGTGCAGCATTTACATAAAATCGGACGAAACTATATTTGGGAGCTATATCATAATCTGGACCGATTTTCAGAGAACTTACCACACATCATTCAAGGCTTCATTCAGTACGCTATGCCGAATTTCGTACATATCGAAAGATATTTAGGGACTTAGGAGCACCATTTACATTAAATCGGACGAAAACATATATGGTAGCTATATCTAAATCTAAACCCATTTTCACGAAACTTAGCACACATCATTCTACTCTTGATTTAGTACACTGTGCAAAATTTCATGCAAATCGAATGACAAATAGGGACTTTGGTACACCATTTACCTAATATCGGGCGCAACTATATATGGGAGGTATA